GCCATACCTGTATGGACGAAAGTTTAACATCATAACAGACCATAAACCCTTACAGTGGCTGTTTAACTATAAAGATCCCACTTCAAAATTAGTACGATGGCGAATAAAATTACAAGAATTCGACTACCAAATAACATATAAGAAAGGAAAACTTAACACAAATGCTGACGCGCTAAGTCGCATTGAGTTACACACAAAAGACGCCGCCAACATCTCGAGTTTAGTCTCATACATCGAGGAATTTAATAAGCAACTTGAACAAGAAGGCACCTCATCGTCGAACACGAACAACAAAAATATAAATGCAAACGAAGATAACTTAGACCTAATTTCAACGATGGCACAACCCGACCTTGACCCACCAGCAAATGAAGACGACAATGAAACCATACATACAAATAACGAACAAGATCCTATAGTAGGAGTCCCTATTATAGAATCAGCAGTTAATTACGGAGCTAATCAAGTGATTATTACGAGAGTTTTGCATTCACCTGCAAAAACAAAACGCTTGATATTATTCGAGAAGAAAAGAAGATTTCTAGTCCAATTATCGGAAAATAATTTTGAAAATGACGTCATGCAATTTGTGAAAGAAAATGTAGTACCCGAAAAGCTATATTCCATTTATTTCGAAAATCCAGATACTTACGAACCTTTCTGCGAAATAATAAGGAAAAACTTTAAATGGCCTTCAATTAAATTTAAAAGATGCTTGATAAAATTAATTGATGTCGTCAACAAAACAGAAATAGCAGAGGTAATTCAAAATTACCATGAGAGCAAGACAAATCACCGAGGAATCGAAGAAACCGAGCGACGAATTAAGGAAAAATATTATTGGCCCAACCTGAAAGAATCCATTCAATCATTTATCAATGAATGTGAAATTTGCCAACGTAGCAAATATGAACGTCACCCAATAAATATGGAAATGAACATCACGCCTTCTGCAACAAAACCATTTGACATCATCCACCTTGATACATATACTCTCGATAAGGTTAAATTTCTTACTATAATAGACAGTTTTTCTAAATATGCCCAAGCTTATGCCCTTACATCTTTATCCGCTACCGAAATATGTGATAATCTCATATCCTTCTTCTCACATCATGGCATTCCATCAAAGATAATCACCGACAATGGAACCGAGTTCAAAAATACTGTTCTTACTGAACTACTCCAACTTCACAAAGTAAAAATACATTTTTGTTCTCCTGAACATCCCCAATCTAATGGCGTAATAGAGAGGCTCCACTCAACCTTATCTGAACACATAAGAATTTTCAACAATCAAGGATTCCTAAAAACGCCAATTACCCAAAAAATTAAATATGCAATCTTAGCATACAATCATACGATCCACTCTGTAACCAAACACAAGCCCATTGACATAATCACAGGACACATAAGTCCCAATGACCCATTCGATCTTAAGTTAGATCAACTCCTAATTACAGATTACGTCAACGAGCACAAAAATAAAACAAAACTCTTGTATTCCAACATAAATGAACGTCTTATGGATACAAAAAATAAAATAATTGGCAAAATCAATGAAAATCGTGATAAGCCAACATTATTTAGACCAGAACAGAAAATATATGTAAAGAAACATACACGCCAAAAATTAGGAGACAAATTTCGACCAGCCACACAAATAGAGACCGTTGACCTCACACGGAAAACAATAACAACGGACACTCTAGTCAAAGTGCACATGGACAATATTAAACGTCCTCTAAGAAACAAATATAGTTTCGATACTTAAGTTAATTTTAATAAATAGGTAATAAGTATAATAATATTGGTACTAATAAATATGAATATGATAACCTCACGCTTACGCTTACTAATCTTTATTTCAGCTTTATAACCCACGCATTAGGAAACCAAGAGCAAATCTCCATAAGAAAATTGGACGATAATCCTGGAATTATCCCAGTGAAACTTGGAAATGCAAAAATTAGAGACTACACCTACACATTGATACACTACTATGACCTAAATCCCATACTTATCGAAATTAACAAACTACACTCTAAATCCAATAATATCACTAACATGCTTAATGGACACAAAGAGTATTCTGAAGATATTAGTAATTATATCAAATTAATTCAACTAATACAAATTAGAGTAGATAACAAAATTAAAGAAATAATTCCCCAGCCACAAAGAACAAAAAGAGGCTTGATTAACGGCCTAGGGTCAATTTTCAAATCCGTAACCGGAAACCTCGACGCTGACGATGGCGAACGTTATGAAAATCTTATAAGGGAATTGCAAGGAAATCAAAAGAATTTGCAAGCAAATATTTTGAAACAAAATTCACTTTCTTTAACTGTTATTGAAAAATTCAATACGACGATAAAACAAATAAATTATAATGAGAAACTCTTAGAATCAAAAATCAATCAAATCGCACACATAGTAGAGAAATCTGCTTATAGAGAAAATTCTCTTTATATTAAGGACATAATTAATCAAATTATTAATGTCTATGAAATAATAGATTCAATATTACAAGATGTCGAAAACTCTTTAACTTTTTCCAAGTTAAAAATTATGCATCCTAGCATAATGAGAACTGAAGATCTCTGTACAGAACTTATCAAATTACAAAAACAACTAAGTAATGAACAAATGCCTTTAGCAGTTAATGTTGAGAACATTCTTTTGTATGAAAAAATCATCAAATTAGAATCATTTATTCTTAACAATAAAATAACTTATTTGGTCCATATACCTATAATGTATCCTGAATCTTTCGATTATTTCCACCTATATTCAATACCAATCAAAAGTCAGAGTCAGTTTAAGGTAGTCCTTCCACAAAATAAATATCTTCTAAAAAACGGATTGCACTACGCACATTATGGCCAAGAATGCCAGGAAATCCTTCCTGAATTCCACCTATGCGAAAAAGAAGAACTCCACGAACTTCAAGACAGCAGTCCATGTGAAGTAAAGCTACTGAACTCTGAAAAAGACACTTCTACTTGCAAGCCAACTGAAGTCAAAATCACACAACCAATAATCAATCGATTGGACAAATCCAATCAATGGGTATTTGTACTTCCGGCTAAAGTACCTATAAAACTCAAGTGCTTTGGACAAGAAGAAATCAGAAAAGTTATTGGAACCTTTCTAGTTCGTATACCAACCAGTTGCCAAATAACTATCTCTTCGAGACTGATTATCAACGAAAAGAAGCCTCTGAAATCAGATGCACAACCTATACTATTTCCTGACCTTCCAAATGTACCTGAATTAATGCATTCCCTGAATTTAGGTACACACTTGAAAACCATAAAACTGGACAATCTCCACCAACTAGCTAATGAGATTGTAGAAAACCGTTTGACGTTTAGTGAAATCAGAAGACTACCAAGTTTGGGAACCATTCTGATATATGCTATGATCCTTGCTGGGTGTGCTGTTCTTGGCTATAAGAAACTAGCACCGAAGCTGAAGAAACGAAGAGGGGACAACCACCCCGAAGAAGAAGCCCGACCAATCCAACTTCCTCGCTTAGCATGAAGTTGTATCTTAAGAAGGGAGGAGTAATGTCAGCTCTATTTGCTGACCATTCATATAAACTGCTTAATTCGCTTTTCTTTATTATAAATATCGCTGCCCGCCTAGAATAGTTAGTCAGTTGAATTGTAATTATATTTCTTATTTGAAACTTTGTAAACGCGAACGCGAAAGTATTTCTCTATTGTAATTTAGTGAATAAATTGTTTTTTAAAAACTTGTTATCGGCCTACGTATTGATAACTCGCTGCAGCTCTGGCGTCCTCAAAACTGTATAGGAATATACGTAATGTGTTTCCACAGGTAAGGGATTGTTAATTTTTCGCATTGTTGTAAAATGTATCATAACACCACTATGCACAATATTTTGAAAAATACAGTGGGCTATGATAAATTTTCTATCAATACATAAATAAATATAGTGAAAATTGAAAGTGAATTAGGTATTTATCGATTTTAGGGAACTGTTAATGTAGGAGACAATAATCTCCCATTTATAATAATCGGTGATCCAGCCTACCCCTTGTTACCATGGCTTTTGAAAGGATACAGTGGCCCAAATTTAACCCCTGAAGAGGAATCGTTCAACGTACATTTAAACTCTGCAAGAGTTGTTGTTGAAATTGCTTTTGGACGGCTTAAAGCTAGATGGAGGCGTATTCTAAAACGCCTCGATGTGCATTATTCCTTTGCACCAAATATTATTGCTGCATGTTGTATTCTCCACAATATTCTGGAAATACATAAGGAAGATTTCAATGGAAACTGGCTTAGAGCAGTCAATGATGCGAATTTAATTTTCAATGAACCTAATCCAGCAAATAATAATAGGAATGAGTATGAAGGATACAATATGAGGATTTTTTTGACCGAATATTTGAGGGAAAATTTCCCACTACTTATATCTCAACATAATATTTAAGAAATATGGAGATGTAGAATAAAACTATTTGTTTCTAGGAAATTGCTGTTTATTATTATTTATTAGCAAAACTAAATACGTATTCAATATACAAAAACAAACAAAACTTGAAAAAATAATGTAAACATAATTATATAACAAATAATATAAACATCCACTTAACCTTAAGAACACTGAAAAAAGGAACTTCATTCAGAAAAAATAACACAAAGGAACATTCTACATCACAAAAAAAAATAATTAAATTGTAACAAAAAAAAAGTGAATTCTAATTAATTGTTGCGTTGCTTGTCATTTTTGGAAAACTTAAACAAACATTTGATTTTTTTCTGTTCCATTCAATTTGCAATTAACTAAAAAATTTTTTAGGCCAAGAGAAGTCGAATGGCACAAACCGCAGGTAGCTAGCACACCTGGTTTAGAAGTTATAAGCATTAAAAATAGGTCAGTTTCTATTGGGACACCCTGTAAATTGAATAAACTATGAGTCCGAATCAGAATTTGACTGAGTGCGACGTCCCAAAAGACCTCTTACCAACATCGAGGTGCACTCTTTCAATGTTGCATCACTGCTTCTCATCATCTCCCGCATAAACTCCCTGTCATTCGCTGCTTCTTTCCGATTCTCTTCCAGCATGGTTTGCAGAAGACTTAAACCAGCGTCTGCTTTTTCAGTCGTCTTTTTCTTCTTCCGTTTCCCCTTACCAGCAGTATTAAATTGGACTTTGGGAGCAGCAGTGGGAGTAGTAGTAGCAGAGGGAGTGGAAGAAGCAGAGGGAGTGGAAGAAACAGCGGTAGTTGAAGCTTTGCATGATGGAAGAGTCGGTATGACCAATCTTTTGATTCCAGGTTCATTCGAACAACCTGGAATTGCCCCATCAATATCTGGCTGGTCATCAAAATCTTCCATCACTATTTCAATCTCCGAGATATCCATTGGGGGCACATTTTCATTATTGACTAAAATAATATTTGATTTAGTTGATATTTGTTGAAAAGTACCTTTTTTCATAGACAAAATCAAAATACATAAAATATGTGAAATCTTTTTGGGAACAGCTTGAGGTACCTAATAGGCAACTGGAAAAGTTAATAGAGAATAGTTTCTGTACTGACCAAAATGCCTCAGGCAGGATGTTATTGTTTCAAGCAGTTACATAATTATTCTAGTTACTCACTTTCTGGCTCGCTTTCTGCTAAACTCTCAAATCCAATTGCTGGTGTATCACCAAGGCTTTCTGCTTGTGGCCTGGAGCCTAATATTGCATCGAGTTCTTCAAAGTATTCGAATTTGTAAGGCTGATTCCCACTGATGGCATTATGCCTCTTACATTTGTAGTACTCAGCTGAAATAATAAATTGATATATCAATACAATATTTGAAAAACCAAAGTGTAAAAATTTTTAGAATTGATCTCGAAATTGATTTTATTGAGAATGAGAAATACATGCACAACTGACAGAAAGAAAAATTTCCTCAACTTTTTACTATGTGTATTGGTAGAGCTATGTATGTACATACCTACTTGAAAAAATGTAAATTTATGTAAATTTGACTTACCTTTCAAATTTTTATATTTTACTAATAACTGGCTCACATCCCTGCAAAATCCCATATCTTTCAAAGGTCCTATTAAGGATTTGAAAATATCCGAAGTTCTAATACGTTTTCCATCCATTAATCCTAGAACATGCTTTTCTCCAATTAGGGTACGTCGGGGGTAGATGGCCATAGTTTTTTTGGAATTGTGAAAAAAAATTACGCAAAGGTATTTGGTTTTTTATTTGTTACTCAAGACAAAGGAAATTCATTGAAATAAACATTATTTTATCAAGAACTGAAAAATAATAAGAGATAAACGTAAATTATTTTTCTCAAACAAAACGGCTATGTGGCCGTCTCTCCCAGATGCTACGGGTAAGATAGCCATATAAGTCTGGGAAAGATGGCCATAAAAAATTATTAAAACTTTTTGCCTTTTTTTGTTTTACTGTCAAGTTTTCCGCATGTCTGACAAAAGTTGCCATAAGTTGTGCAATCTTCATGCAGCCACTTAAGGCAAACCACGCACTTAATCCAGTCAACAGTTTTTTTTGTATCATTGTAATTTTCGCCGCACCCCACGCATAAATTTTCATCAAAATCGTCACTTTCTCCGTCGTCACTCTCCAATATCATTTCTATTTCCTCCTCCTCGCTGCTTGGACTGTCACATTTTTTTTTCTTAGGGATTTTTTCTCCTATTCCAAGTAATTTTCTTTTAAGAACCCTTTCAGTTTTTTCCTGCATTTTCTTCTCTTTTTCCTTGCGCAGCTGCAAGTTTTCTGGTGCAGTTAAAATTGCGGCAAGTTGTTTGGCTCTTTTCTTAACTGTGGCCAATTTTTCTGGAACCGATGGAGACAAATCTTGAAGAATCTTGGATGGAGTTATTTTATCTGGGGAAGCTGTTGCCGCTGAGCAACAGGCTTGAGAATTTGAAGGGTTAACTTTTGGTTGAGCTGCAGTAATAGATGTCGTTTGAATTCCAATAATTGTCGTTGGATTTGGAATCACATCAGTCTCCTCGGAATGAAATGCATATTCGGGTATTACGTCACGATTGAAGGGTAGGATTCCCGTTGATCTAAATCCTGAAGAACCATTTTGCGTTGTGGCGGCCTTACCCCAACTATCACTGAGCAATTCCCCGAACTGATAGCGAGTAATGCGTCTTCCTGCATGATTTCTAAGCCACAAACGGCAAGATTCATAAAAATGGCCTTTTAAAGATTTAAAAAAACTTCGGTCTAGTGGTTGAAGAAAATGGGTGGTATGGCTTGATAAACATAGAAGGATTATCCCATTTGACTCAGCAAACTCTAGCATTTCAACGGAATTTACGTGAGAAGCATGCCCATCCAGAATCAATAAAACTTTTCCTTGTGGTTTTCGTGGAATAAAATGAACACGCAGCCACTGTAGAAATATTTTGGAGTTAATGTAGGCAGACTTCTCTGACATGAACAAAATCGATCCAGGAGGCAGTCCATCCTCCCACTCCTGCTTCTTGTTTTTACCCTTCATGATAACAGCTGGTGGCAGAAAGTTACCCTCAGCATTGCAGCATGCAACGAGAGTGATTGTTTCCCCCCTCTCAGTGGAAGTTACCGTTGAGACAGCTTTTGATCCTTTTTGTGCCAGTACTTCAACGGGCCTGTTGTTTAGCTGCAGACCCGTCTCGTCAATGTTGAAAATATTGGCAGGTTTGTCAAATAAATTTTCTCCTTCCATCGTAGCCTCAAGCAAAGTAAAATATTGAGCAATTTCATTTCGGTCCATGGCATTTGTTCGAGCCAAAGACACCCCTTCGGCTTTACGTACACTTATTTCAGGATGGCGGCTCAGAAATAAAGTCAACCAATCATAGCCAGCCTTTTCTTTTTGTTTATTAAATCTGTGCTTTAAATTTAACTGCTCAGCAAACTGATAAGCCATTTTTCGTAAGTCGTCTCTAGTCAATGGGAAACCTCGTTTCTGCATTGCCAAAATATGTCGAGATAGTCGGTTTTCATGAGCACTGCCAAAGGAACTGCTAGGACCCATACTGCCTTTTAAAGAATTTCCAGTTTTAATTCGCCGTTCTAAGGTTTTGCGTGGCACTTGGTATTCAATAGAAGCCCGACGAACAGACAAATTTCCATCTGCTACACTTCTAATTGCATTTGTTAGAGCTTCCTGCGTCCAATTACCACGAACATTTACCGCTTTGCGTGTGTACTTGTTCGGCATCTGAAAAAGAAAAACCAAAACTAAAGATTTGCACTAAGAAGCCTTAACATTCAGCATTGATAAGGCCATCTCACTCAAAAATTTGTTGGCCATCTTTCCCGAAAAATTGTTGGCAATCTCTCCCGATTATACGGGAGAGATGGCCCACACAATTTGGGGGCGTTGTGTCATTGGCGGGTATTTATTTTGAGGTTATGTTACCGCTCACACTATCGTATTAACTGATTATAGCAAAAACACAGCGAAAAATATATCGCAAACTTAACTAAAATGGGCCATTTATATTTGCAAAAAAATATTTTGATATCTAGCAAATTGAAATTGAAAATATACTTACATTTGTGAGGATTTTTTCAACCTAATGAAGAACAAACATAACCACTTACTAATGTCTAACATCTGACTAGATTTGGCAGTGGCTACCAGCCCGTCGTTAGTATACACGGCATATGGCCATCTTTACCGTATGGCCATCTATCCCGGAATTACCCTAATTGGAGAAAAGCTCTAACTTCTACTGGGGACCATATATTTCTTTTCTTTGATTGGGGATGGGAAACTTCATACGACTGGGGGTGGGAAGGCTGAGACATTTCAACAAAAAAAAACACAAAACTAAAACCGGCATCAACGAAAAATAAAAATTGTTGTTTGTTTTGTGATTAATTATTATTTCCAAACTGAGGTTAAGTTAACGTAGTCTGCGCGCTCTTCTTTTTAGTCAAACTTCGAATCCGCATCTTTTACGTCTTTTTCGGCGTTCTGTACATCCGATCGGAGCGCTGCATCGGATCGAGTGAATTCAAACCCACCAAAATAAAGGATTGGCCTTGGCCTGGCGAATCCGATCGAAAATGGATCGCGTGTGTTTACAACGCGAATTTCAAGCGGATGCAGTTCCATCGGATCGGTCCGATCGCATTGAAACGGCACGTTATAAACGTAGTCAATGCCAGTAGAAACATTTTGTTTATTAAAAAAATTATTAATAAATCTCCATTGTTTTTTTATATTGCTACCGGCATGCTCCCACTTGGTACGAAAATATAAATTTTTTGCTGTCTTTATTTTATTGTTTAATTTTTTTATACTCAGAGTCAAATTCCAAACTATCAGGGTTCTTGATTTTCTTTTTATAAGCCAAATCGCGTTGTTGCATAATTTCAACAATTTCTTGTGTAATCCAGAAATTATTTTCTCGGATTTTGATAGATTTAGAGTATTCAGATTTCTCTTTCGCTTCTTGGATTAAATTAGTAAGTATTTGAAATGATGAAACATTGATGTTTCGAATTTTTTCCCTGAATAATTCAATAAACTTGTTATGATCAATTATTTTGATAGAATGATTTATCTTTGGCTTATACTTTTTAACATTTTCCTTTATGCCAAAATTCAGATAGTTGTGATCCGACAGTGAACTAGTATGAACATCTACAAACTGTACCAAGTCAGTAACACGATCTGACAGCTCATGATCAATCAAGGACTTAGAGCATTGGGTAACTCTTGTTGCGTGTTCTTGCGAAACAATATTATTAATCTTAAAATTATTTAAAAGTAACAGGCTTTTATACTCCTCAACTCTGTTAGAACTTTCCAATAAATTAATATTAATATCGCCAACAATAATATGATTTCTTGGATATTTTAGCATAATACTCTCCAGATATTTAAAAAACTCTACATAACTATAAGACGGAGGCTTATACACAACACTTATCTTTAAGTTATGAACACCTATATTCATACAAAGCCAATCAACTTGCTGATCTTCAGTGGAGCAGTCTAGTTTTCTAAATTGTAGATTTTTTTTTAATATAAATTGAAACCCCTCCACCTCTTTCAGATCTGCAAGTATGGACAGCATTGTATTTTACAAAATCGTATAAAAAAGTCTCACCCTTACTTAACCATGACTCCGAGATACAGAAAACATCATAATCATTACTGACAACAAAGCATTGAACCAAGTCTAGTTTATTTCGCAAACTTTGGATGTTCGTATAACCAACACTTATTTTTGTAAGAGGCCCCTCTAATTTTTTAATTGATCTTCACTTTCTAGCAAGATTACCTTAGATCTTTCATCCTTTCTCAAAAATACATTTCCATCACTTATCCAGAGGAACTTATAATTCTCCTCGTTTTTGAAAGCTTTGGCAGCTGTGAACAATTTCATACATTCCTTAGTGAGATCATGATTAAGGTAAATCTTATTGCTTTTGCTATATCCCAACCTTCCAGTATCAAGCTGATTTCTTTCTTTAGACTTGAAGAGCATTTCTTTTTCTTTCACATGTGCAAATTCCACCTTAATTGGACTTTTGCTATTTTCCCCCAAGCGAAAAGTTTTAAAATCTATATCCAGGCAATGGGATTGTAGACTAAGGATGACCTCTCTATCTAGGGATCGTTCCCAAAGCTTTTGGAGGTCCAGAGACGCTAGTCCTAAACATCGACCTGGAAACCCGCATGAGAAGAACACTAGTCCAGCTGTGAGAAGAACGGGCCTGATCGTCGATGACAAATGGACTACTAAGCAAATGAGAGAAGATCAGGAGGCAGACCAGGACATCGGGCAAATTCTACATCTTAAAGAAAATGATGAATGTAGGCCAGAATGGGGGGAAGTGTCAAACAAAAGCTTGATTTACAAGGCGTTGTGGGCCCAGTGGAACTCTCTGGCCGTAGAAAATGGTTTGCTCAAAAGAGTTTGGGAAAATGCCGATGGGAAATCCACTAAGAGCCAACTGGTTATCCCAAAAGACCGAGTGGAAGATGTATTAAAAGAGATACACGACGGAACTTCAGGGGCACATTTCGGAGTTAACTTTGGACAAAATTCGGGAACGTTTTTATTGGGTTCACTACCATGAAGACGTTAAAAGCTGGTGCCGAAAATGCGACATCTGTGCTACCAGTAAAGGCCCTAAACTAAGATCTCGGGGGCCCATGAAACAGTACAACGTCGGCCTCCCATTTGAAAGAATAGCGATAGATGTTGCTGGACCGTTCCCAGAGTCAGAGCGTGGTAACAAATACATCTTAGTTATCATGGATTACTTCAGTAAATGGCCAGAAGTTTTCGCTATTCCCAATCAAGAAGCCATCACTGTTGCCCAGGTGCTAGTGGACGAAGTTTTTAGTCGTCATGGTGTGCCACTAGAGTTACATTCAGACCAGGGACGAAACTTCGAATCTGCCATCTTTAAGGAAATTTGTGAGGTCATGGGAATCCGTAAGACCAGGACAACACCTTTACACCCTCAGTCTGATGGCATGGTGGAACGATTCAATAAGACTATAGAGGAACACCTGACAAAAGTGGTCGCAAAGAACCAACGAGATTGGGACAAGCATTTGCCTCTATTTTTAATGGCTTACAGAGCGGCTGTTCACGATTCAACAGGTGAAAGTCCGGCTAGAATTGTTTTTGGAAGGGAACTCAGGTTACCTTGCGATCTGATGTTTGGAGTATCCGAAAAAGAACGAAGAGAAATTCGAGATTATGACGACGAAGTAAGGGCACGACTTTTGGGTATCCATGATTTTGCTCGGGAGCATATTCAACTAGCCAGTGACCGAATGAAGACCAGATACGACTTGAAAGCCAATTCGGTCGGATTTCAAGAAGGTGATTTAGTGTGGTTGTATAACCCAGCAAGGAAGAAAGGAGTATCGCCGAAATTGTCTTCAGCATGGGAAGGACCCTATAGAATAATCAAGAGGATCAATGATTTGGTTTATCGAGTCCAGGGCAACACCAGGAGTAAGATGAAAGTTGTACATCTGGACAGATTGGCGAAATATCATGGACGTGAAGTTGATCGGGACGATCAACCTTAAGAGGAGGGCAGTGTCACGATATCGTCCGCCAGACTGTCAAGAATCGACGGTGAAAATACTCGAATCTAGCGAATTATTCTACTATAATCGAGAAATAACATTATCGTGTGTGTTCTAGATTTTACAGGAATAGATTTAGGGATATATAAGAAGGCCGGCATTGATTTGTAAGTTAAGTTTCAGTTCGAGTGTGATACGATTTAAATAGTGATTGTAAAGAGTTTAATGGTTGAGTTTGTTAATAAAGTAATTAGTGTCAGAGTGTTTTGTTAAGTGGAATAAATTATTGCTGTGTTAATTGGACTTTAATTTTTGGAATAAACGAAACGAACCACGAACCCAAGATTTCTGTCCGGCGATCCAAAGCCGCGACAGTATTTTTGGTGACTCCAGATGTGTTCGCTCCATCTAGAACATATGGAACGTGAAAATATTTTTTAATCGTGAATTTCAGACAACAGAAATTTAATTTCCGATATCTCAAAATTAATTTCTGATATCAGAAATAAATTTTAGGTATCAGAAATACATCAAAATATTTAACAATTTTTTATGATGTTTTATTCCATTTTACATATTTTTTAATTCATTGAGTTTCAAAAATGAGCTTTTGAAATGTATTTTTAGGTATAAATGTAATGAAATGATTTTAAGTTTATTGGATTAAATTAGTACTTAAAAATTCAATTAATTATTTTATTGAGTAAAAAACGTACACGCTTGCTTTAAAGGATGTTTTTCGAGATCGTGTTGCTCTGTTTACATACTGTATTTCGAAAATAAGTAAAAATCATACTTGTTTTTATAAGGCCTTTGGATGCCTTCTTAGAAGGTAAGCCTTTATTTAATTTGGTGTTCGTCGACAACGTTGGAAATTTTGGTATTTCAACATTTATTTCGGCTTCATCTTCAGATGTCTCATTGCTGTTCAAAAAATAATTTTTTGCATACAAAGGATTCATTTTAACAAGTCGTTTTTTCGGCAATTTTTCAGATCCGCTGCTGTCGATTTCGGAATTAGCAATAACTTTGTTAGCACGTGAAGATGCCGTTGCGAATTTGTCGTAAGTTCTGCTTGAACTTTGAACGCCTCTATACTTTTGCCAGCTGTTTTCCTGCGGTGATAAGCAATGTTTCATCGCACTTTCTACGTCCCTCCTGTTGTCAAATGGAGGCCAAAAACAATCGGTCCCAGTAATCCAGGACAAGGGTACAACCTCAACACTATCGCCCTCGTCTTCATTGTTAAATTTGACAACTTTCCATTGTTTATTTTCCATATCTATATGGAGTAATTATGAAAAGAAGAAAAGAAAAAAAATCAATTTACCTGAACGCAGAACGGGTCCACTATTCTTTTTCGTAGAGCGCCCGCGGTAATAAATGAACCAGTGACCAAATTACCTAAATAAATTTAAAATTGTTTTACAGATGTAACTAACAAAGTTGCCATACCAAAAAAATAATAACAACAGCAAAAGTATAATAATTATTTCAAATTTAATGGTCCCTAATTCAAATTGGTGTATTCTTCATGATGCAGCAAAGGTAAAACTACAAAGCCATCTGCGTATGGCAGAACACATAGTGGAGCGGCGAGAAGAGCGACGAGGAGAGCGGCGATTGAGGGTCGCGGTGATAAAAGAGATTCCTGCACATAGTGGCGCGCGACTGGCGCGATCAAAACAGAGAGATGGATCTATTGTTAGTAGAAAATTCGTCTCTGAAAATTTGGTATTTTCTGAAAAATAGATTAAATAGAAAGAGAAGTTGTAATGTACATGAAATAAATAAAAGTAGGCATGTACATGGTGAATTTCATCACTTGTATGAACAACTAAGGCAGCATCCCGAGAAGTTTCAGTCTTATTTCCGAATGAGTATTGCAACGTTTGATTATATTGTGGAGAAAATTGAGCATAAGTTAGTAAAAAATTGGACCAATTTTAATCGTAATCCTATTAACCCAACGGAACGGGTTGCAGTCACCTTAAGGTAAGTAAACATGCACACTTTTAATTTTATATTTTATTCAGAACGAAAACCCAAAACTTAAAATTAAAACACATACAATTCTTATGTACTTATACCTATCTGTAAATATTAAAAATCATTAACAGATTCTTCGGAAAAACTCGTCAAATAAGATCCAACTGATGTAGGATTCGAGTAGGTATTTACAGGCTGCAAATCAATTATTTGACGTGGATTTATTTCATGTAAATGCATAATTTGAGTTCGATGATTACTTTGGCTTTCAGTAACTTGATTGGGCGGCTGATCATTGTAAACAAAGTTATAAACAAGTTCTTGCATCTTCATCCTTAATAACATTTTTCTTTGTGGGGTGAGCGTATATGCGGTAGAAGGCTGTCAAAAAAGCAATCGTCTTCATCAAGTGTTTGACTTTTCTTTTCTTTTTCTAGAATCCTGATTTTTTGTTCTTCTAATCTTATAAGTGCGGCACCAACATCTGTGTCATTTTGGTTCTTTCGTTTTAATTTGTTAATTGTAGGTGTAGAAGTCAGTTCACTGGTTTTGTTCTGTGACGAAACGTTCATCAATGGTGGTTCATCGGCATAAGTAGAATCATCCAAGTTTTGATTATTTGGTTCTAATCGGGATTCTGATAACTGGCTGTTTGTATCTTCATCCAGAATATTGATGTCTTGCTCAGTTTCGGGCAAATTTCCGGTGCTTACTCGGGCAGTAAATAAAGACTATCAAAATATTGCCAAGATGATGTCCAAGAGGATGCCCCATCCCCCGATCGTTGTACTGTTTTTTTTTTTTAAGTTCTTTGCGAAATGTGTCTCGCAAGTTTTTCCATTTTGTCCTCACGATACTCCCTGAAATGAAAAAAAATCATCAGAATTTAAGCTTTAACAAGTTTTTTTTTTTTTAGGTTTTTGGCAACGGGATCATCTTTTAAGACTCTTGGTTTTACTTTTCGAATGGGTGCTACGACTGTGTCATCAATTGTGCGAGAAACAGTAAAAGCTATGTGGGACATATTGCAACCTCTGCATATGAAAGTTCCTACCGAAAATGACTTCAAGAACACTGCAAAAGAATTCTACGAAAAATGGAATTTTCCCCAATTGTCTGGGGGCAATTGACGGGAAACATATTCGTGTAAAGTGTCCCCCTCACTCTGGAACCATGTACTATAATTACAAACACTTCTTTTCTATAGTGCTCCAAGCTGTTGCTGATGCAAATTATAGATTTATAACAATAGATGTTGGAGGATATGGCAAGCAGAGTGACGGGGGTACATTCCGATCTTCATCTCTATTTCATCTAATTGAGAGTAAACGTCTCAATATTCCTGAAGATGGTACATTACCACTGACTATGATCACTGTGCCCTATGTTTTTATCGGAGATGAAGCGTATCCTTTATTAAATAATCTAATGAAACCTTTTAATAGAAGAAATTTAGATGCAGAAAAAGAATATTACAATATGCGCCTTTCACGTGCAAGACGTGTAGTAGAGTGTGCTTGTAAGTGGAGGGGGTATTGTAACGGTCTGAATGTGATTGTATTACATATTGCTATTTTTTTAGAGAGTAAATGTTGAATTAGATTAGTTGAAACAAATTTCGTTCAGCGAAATATTTTCAAATTAGGTTTATATCTAAAATTAGTTATAAATTAAATATACTGGTACACTATTTTAAATTTAGATACCCGAATGATGGGTTCTCCCCACTCACATATTTGCGTTCTTTGGTTCCTCGTCTATCTAGACACTGAATTTTAAAGGTCAGAACCACGCCAACTAGTGTTCAATGCATAAGCTCGTCGATGATCTAAAACGCATTTTGAGTTTCATAAAATCCTGGTGATTTTTGCGTTCCTTGGAGAAGGGATTTCTCATCTTCGGCATCCTAGAGTGATTTTGGTGATTTTGGCATTAAGGCTATTTTTCACTCTAACGACAAATTGTCGGATTCAAAGCATTCGTCCACGTTCACGATAGTCGAAAATCTTGACGCCATTTTGTGGGTAAGTTATATCATGGAATTCTTAATCCCAACCATTTTAGGTTGTGGTATTCTGATGTAATTTCTGTAATATTTCCCGGGTATTTATGGGTTCTTTTCCGTTATTTATAGTCTGATAATCCCTCTACATATTCGGGGAGGTTTTCCATCTTCAACCCCCAGAAATCTGATCATCGTGGCTTCAAAACCACACCCTGCAGTGTGTAAGTAAATTCAGATTTATTAGGGATTTTTGAAGGAATTAAATTAATGAATAGGGACCGATTTTATTGAATGGGTATTGCCTTAGTTAAAAATGCATTAATCGAATTTTAGAAATTATTTCAAAGTACCTATTCGCCTAGGGATATATTTTTTTTAGAAGTAAATATTACGTAATGTTGATTTACATAAATTATTTTAAATTCAGTGGGCATTTTATTAATATTTTGGGGCTATCCTAGAATTTTTATAGTCAAAGTTGGAACTAATGCCATATTGGTATTGTCTTTTAGGGTTTTTTGGTGAGGGATTTACCGAGTGGTTCATCTTTCTGAGAGCCATCTTCTCAACCCCTGCCATTAGGGAGTGATTGATGTCGGGATTGTCTAGTGAGGAAAACCATCCCCAGACAGGACCATTCGGCCCCTTATTGTTGTTTGGGCCTGTCGAGACTCCAGGCTGCTCAGATAAGCCCTTAGTTAACTATTCATTTTTCCTTATTTTTGAAATTGATTGCGAGGTTCACGTAAGTCATTATATAACCACACATTTTTCTTATTGTTGAACTTTATTCGTCTATTCAGATAAGTCATTTTATACCTATATTTTTTTCTTATTATTGAAATTCATTTGACTGCTCAGATAAACATTATAAAACTATACATTTTCCTATTATTGGAATTGATTTGAATGAAACGATTAATAATTTGTAGTACTGCCATAAAGGAATGTAAAATAATATATTAAGGACGTCTGAGTTTAGGACCTTCTTGTAAGGCCTCTGTGATCACAAAGGTTAACGTGCGCAATCTCATAAAAGCCAATCTAGTGTTAGTTGGAAAATGTATCCTTAAACGATTCCTAAATTCCACATATTTCTGAATATATATATACAATTCTTTTACTCAGGAAAAGTAAATTATAAAAATTACATTGTTTTATTCTATTAATATCAATATTGGTAATTGAATACTAATTAGACCATAACTGTCATTTTTTGTTATAAGTTTTTTTTAATCAATCATAGAAAATATAAATTGGAATCTTTCTAATGAAACTGTTCTTTTGGGTACTTATTGATTATTCCATTTCAGTTAACCTACTCATTAACATTTATACAGAATTAGCTATTGAGCCTTACTAGGGATATTTTTCGAGATTCACGTGACCGGTTTCTCTACTTTTGAGTGTCCAAAGGGGTCCAAGTCAAAGGTCACTGGCGTCCTTTTTGAGATCAGATTATCGAATACTTGACTAGTGTTCATGACCGCACGACCACTCTCCGCGAGCAGCTAGCCCGACACTCCCCTTTTACCACCTTCCCTTTAGTTCAGGTCCTTTTAGTTTTTAGTATTTTAGGGGTAGATTCATCCCCTAACGAGCCGTTTCATGCTTTTGGAATCATCAGTGCCAAGTTTCGTATTCTTTTGAAGCCCATAGAAACCTCTTCAGACTTAGCAGATGATATTATTAAGTGTATCTGTATTCTACACAATACAATAATTGACATGGAAGGCATTTCAATTCAATTCAAGACGAACAATTTTTGTCCCAACCCGAGTCTCAATGTGATAGATCAGCCGTTGTACGAGCAAATAACAGGCCAACAGCAGCTGCCACTTTTATTAGAGAGACATATAAAAATTACGTATGTAGATATAAAATATAAAATTTAAAAATATACTCACTTGTTGAATTCATTTCTTTGGCCACAGCATCCCACAGTTTATCCAAAACAAAGCGGTTATGGTGCTGAGAGTCTTTCTGATCCCATAGGGGATTTTTAACAAATACACTACTAATAAATGCATCCACATCCATTTTAAACACAACTATTTCTACAACGAGGAGAGCAGAGAAAACAAATCTGCTTGATCTTGCCGCTATCCTCTCAATAGCAACGCGGTTACCTCGCTTCAGCTCGCCTCACTATGGTTAACTTGATTCGAACTACCGTTTTTGTTTTCGCCGCTCTCCTCTCTGCTCTCCTCGTCGCTCTTCTCGCGGCTCCACTATGTGTTCAGCCTAAGGTAGCTGAACTAGTTTATTCTTTATATATTTAATTGGCCAGTAGTTTAAAACGCCTGAATCCTTTACAAAAAAAATTCCAAAATTACTAGAATTACATGGTCTATTATAAAAATCCTGTACTGTATTAAAACTTCTTCCCACAACTACAAACTCATTAATTATGGAGGAAAATGCAAAATTTTCTGCTGTAATAATTATATCATTCTCCAATACACAGCAACAATCTTTTTTATTAAATGAAATAAAGAAATCTTTAAATTTTACTCTTTTAAACTGAGGGCTTCCACAATCATTAACCAGCACTCCGTCATTGTGGGGATTTTCCATTTCAAAATTTTGTGCACCTAATAAATTGCAGTTTTTTAACGATAAATGTTTTTCGATTTCATTAATTCGTTTAACAATTTGGCTTAGTACGTCTGAAGGTTTACGAAGTAGGTTCTTTATATATTGCAAATGGTTTTCGGAAGAAAAGTTGCTAAAGTTATCAAGGCACCCGTGATTACGAACATCGTCAACGATGTGTAAAAGATTGTGAAAATTATGGCTAAGATAATGAGTCCCATAGATGATTTTTGTTGATTTAACGAAGTGTTCTAATAGCTGCTCAGCATAGTCTAAATAAGTTCTACAATGTTTTTTACTTATCAATATTACAGTTGCCACATGTAAAGTTAGGAAATGGTAATATTTTGTAGGAGACAGAACATTTTTGAGCACGACGGTCCAGAGTAGAGAAGAAATTGTCGGAACTCAGTGGCTTTCCACTTCTTGCTCTCAGACAATGCTCTTTGGGACTCTAGCAAAATTTGAAGGGATATACTGCTTTAAATTGGTTAAATTCTGGAAAATCTGATTAAAATCTCGGGCACATAACTTATGAGGAATAGAGCCAAAAGCCCAAGTTTGGACTACCAACCGTTTTACCACTCCTAAACATATCAAATTCATGTAGTCGATTGGTTTGTCTGCAATAAAATTAATATGGGGAATTTCACCCAGAATACTTATTTCTTCAGTCACGAACTTATTATTCTCACTTAACGTCAAAAAACATTCATTTGTACGAGGTACACATTCAAGATCTGGAAAGCAAACTCTATCTTTAATGTATACACCTTCCTGTTTGCATTTTGTGCAGGAGTAGTAACCAGTACATCCCTTACAGTAAAGAACACTCGATTTTGCTACAGCATCAAAAAGAAACATTGTTATTTTAAATTGAAGGTTTTGTCCAAAAATTGTAATGCCATTATTTGTAAGTTCTTTAGCTTCAGTAACAAAATCTTTTAAAAATTCATTAAATCAAAATGGTTTTTGATTGCCGTGATATATACCTATAATCGAAACATTATTATTATTTTCAATTGATTTGTTAATGCACAGAATTGGGTAGACTTGACTACTTGAACTATGAGCTAGCGGTAATCCGTCAATATTCACAGCAATATTTATACAATTTCCATTAGGTTTAATATTAAGATTTGTATACATTTGTTCAATACAACGATTTATGCCAATATGGCAATAAAAACCTGGTTCTACAACTCGTTTTTCGACAATTCTAGGAGTACACAAAAATTACCTGGGATCCTTAGGAAAATTTTCACAACCCGGAATACGTGGAGCAATTACTGTTAAAAAATGTTTTAGTGCCGCGTGACTTATTTGAAATTTTACAGCCCAGTTTTGCATTTCCTCATGTAAAGACAGTTGGTTATTATGGGAAGGCGCAATATTTTCTATATTTGGAATGTCGTTATCAGAAGTACTTAAACCGGAATGTGTTGAATCAAAACCATTGTCTAAGAAACAATTATTTTCGAGACTGTCGTTTATCAAATTTTCAGTATTTGTGAAATGGTTTTCATTAAAAGAACATTCTGATGACGAACTACATGACAATGTATTGTTTTGGTCACTGGTTTCAGGATATAAATTAGAACGACTGCCCCGCCTGGCTATATTTGAATCGTTTTTATTGTCAGGATGCACATTTTTGAAAAACGCCTCGGTTTCTTTGTTTACCAAACGTCTAAAGTGCCTTGAAGTTACTTTCGTTTTGGGCATTTCAAATTTGCAAAAAATAATTACCTGCAAAACAATGGGCGTACAATAAAAAGTACTTTTTATATTATTTTATACAGGGTGTTCCAAAATTCATGCAACAAATGTTTATGGCATATTCTACGTTAAAAATAATACCTAGTTTCCTACATAAAACTTTGGCCGGAAACGCTTCCTTTCCGAGATACAGGGTGTTGAAATTCTAAGAACAAAACTATTTTTTCGTCATAATGTTCAAACCACTCAAGATATTTTGAAATTTTGTACTCTGCAAAAGACGAGAGAAGATGTGAAATATATATTTTTTTTATTACCAGTGGCGTCTGTACCAGATTTGTATAGAATATTTTTCAAGAAAAAAATGGTGCGCCACTGCTTTTTCTGAAAATAATAGTTATTTATTATACAAGGGAAAAAAGTACTAGATTTTAGCTCGAGGTGTGGTTTGTCTCCCGACGCGAAGCGGAGGGATACAACACAGCGAGCGCTAAAATCTTACTTTTTTCCAATGTATAATACACTATTTTTTTCTGTGACTCTAAATCTCACCTATTTCCCATCTATTCACTATTTTTTTCTATGTCTTTACCTGTTAGTTTTTTCCCATTGATAAAAAAATTTGACTGGTACCTGTTACTTTTTTCCCTCGGGAAAAAAAAAATCACTTTTTTACCATGAGAAAAAAAGTGACATTTTTGCCCCTGTCAACAGGTACAAAAAGTCAACTTTTTTCCCGTCACAGAAAAAAAATTATTTTTGAAATCCTCATTCAATTTGGAACAAATTTGACCCCTTCACTTTTTTCCGTATAATGCACCGTTTTCGAGTAAAAAAATAAAAAAAATCATTTTGATGCACGGCGAAATCGCCAAAATTATGATAAAAATGTTAAACATTAAACACCTTAGGTTTCAAATTACTTTTGTGAAGTTTTTATTCATAATTTTGACGATTTAGCCATACATCAAAATGTTTTTTTATTTTTTATTTGAAAACGGTGCATCATACGGAAAAAAGTGAAGGGATCAAAGCTGTTCCAAATTGAATGAGGATTTCAAAAATAATTTTTATTTTCGGAAAAAACAGTGGCGCACCATTTTTTTCTTCAAAAATAATCCATACAAATCTGGTACGGACGCCACTGGAAATTAAAAAAAAAAAAAAAATCACATCAAAAAATGTCTTCTGCTGCTTGAAAGCAGTGTAAAAAATTTCAATGAAATATCTTGGGTGGTTTGAACATAATGATGAAAAAATAGTTTTTTTCTTAGAATTTCAACACCCTGTATCTCGGAAAGGAAATGTTTCTGGACATAATGTTTATAGAGGAAACTAGGGCTTCTTTTCGACGTAGAATATGCCATAAAAAATTGTTGCATGAATTTCGGAACACCCTGTATAACGCAGAAATTGCTATGAAAATCATATTAATAGAAGTGCGCCTCTTAAACTTAATAAAAATATAGGTAATGGTGTAATTACAGGGCCGTTATAAATTTTTATTAGTGTTAAAACCCGGTAAGGTAATGAATTAACAATAATAAGAAATTGATTGATCCATTTGAATTTTAAAATTTTGCGAATGGAGGATTTCTTAAAGTTATTAAAGGAGGCCGCAGACCTAAGGTACAAATGTTGCGCCACAAATGCCTTTACACTTTTATCGTTCAACATTTAAATAAACTCCCACAAATACGGTACGAGCACGCACACCAGGTTTAGTTGTGTTGACGCATTTGTACCATGTCGTCGTCGTCTAATGACGATGATTTTATGATGTGGCAACTATTAAGACGAAACCGAAAAAAACGTCGCTACTGGGTTCATCCCTACAATGATGGTTGCTCTACAAGAGGAAATTTTGAGATATCAAAGCAGTTAGTGAATGATGAAGAAAAATACCAATCGTATTATAGAATGTTACCTAATACCTTCAAATTACTATTGGAATTGGTTGGTCCAAGATTGCAAAAGGAGGACACGAAATTCAGGGAGTCTATTTCTGCCGAAGAACGTTTATTGATAATATTGAGGTAAGGACAAATATAAAAATATAAAAAATATTTAACCTTAACATTGCGAATTTGTATGCGAATATGATGACGCCTGTGGAGGTGCAAGATTTTGTAGGTGAGTGGTTTGCTGCAAATGCGTATTTGGATAAATGGGATATGCATCACCGGTAAGATCTTGTAGGTGAGTGGTTTGCTGCGAATGGGTATGTGAATAGGATGGCTGTGCAGGTGTAAAATCTTGTGGGTGAGTTTGCTGTTCTTTGTATCCTACATCAAATGAAGTGTAATACGATCTTGCAGTCACTTTTGGAAGGTCTTGTTGGCCAGAATCTGATTGCAATGGATATTTAATGTTTTCGATTAGCTCCAAAATGCCTTTTTGAAATGATAACTGTTGCCGTAAGGTCATTGATTCCATTTGGGGCACGAGACTTAGAAGAAACATCTCACAAGAATTTGGTTTTTCTTGTTGTGAAGAAGTAGTCACTGTTTCTGCTTTTTTCTTCTTTAAAGTAAAGTAATCTATTGCGCATTTATCTGCAGCATTAAGTCCTCTGGTATTGTATGAACTTGTTTTCACCCGTTTGCCGGTTAGTTTCCTACCAAGAGTTAGGCTTTCTGGATTGCTAAGACTGCTTATATCTGCTTGTTGATTCGTATTATCAGTCGTAGAGTGACCTGCACGGGGAGTATCTGGAAAAGAGTATTGACTTTCGCCCAAATCATCAAAATCCACTGAGATTTGTCTATCTCTGGATTCACTGTCTGTGGAAGCAGCTTCATGAGTCCCGGTTTCTTCGTGCGATTCTTCATCCAGATTTTCGGGTTCTTTAGTAGATGGTTCAGATTGTAGATTTCCTTCTTGGGGGTAATTCTTTCTGAATGCATTCAGAAAGTGCAGGTATTTTGCTAGGTAATATGGTTTTTTTGAACCGGCACTAGATCCACTTTTACCTTTAGCACTAAGACTGCGAATGTATGACGAACGTATTCCTTTCCATTTGGTTTTCCCTGTAAATTTAAAAATGATGCTCATAATAATTCAGGTAAAACAAAAAACAGAAATTTGAATTGACCGGCTTCAATATACTTTTTAAAAGGGATTTATAAGACTGTCATAGTATTAATGGTGCAATTCTCAAAATTACTGTTACAATAATGTTATAATAGAAGCTATAATATATAATATTTATTTTTTTATCCTAGGTTCCTGGCCACTGGCTCATCATTTCGATCCATGTCGTACGTTTTTATGAGAGGTGAAACAACAATAGGCCAAATCATTGACGAAGGCTGTGACGTTATATGGCAAGTTTTGCAACCGCTTTATATGAAAAAACCAAAAACGAGTGACTGGTTAGAAATGTCTGACAAATTTCTGGAGTTGTGGAATTTACCACACTGCATTGGTGCAATAGATGGAAAGCACATTCGCATTAAGAAACCGACAAACTCCGGATCTGCATACTTCAACTATAAAGAATATTTTTCCATTAATCTCATGGCATGTGCAGATGCAAATGGCTTGTTCAAAAGTATTGATGTCTGAGATTATGGTAGAAACAATGATTCTGGAGTATTTAGAAATTCAAGCCTTGGACGATCACTTTCAACCAATACTCTAAATATTCCCAAGCCATCGCCATTGCCAGGAGAAGAATTAGACCGTTCATTTCCATACTATTTCGCAGCAGATGAGGGATTTCCCTTATGTGAAAACATAATTAGGCCTTATAATCAAAGAAACTTGACTAACACACGAAGAATATTCAATTATCGATTATCTCGGGGTAGGAAAATTGTAGAATGCACTTTTGGCATGCTTGTCTCAAAGTTTCGTGTGTTTGAAACCCCTCTTTCGTGTTCAGTGGCCAAAAGTATAAAAATTGTTAAAGCTGCTTGCGTTTTACATAATTTTATTAAAATACAGGAGAAAGGGCATTTAAATTTCTCTGCAGAAAATGCATCGAATGAAAAAAATTCAAATCCCAGACATAATTTAAGTCAAAATCAAGGAAGGCCTAGCAACCAAGCTGTCCAGAATAGTGATTATTTGGCTAATTATTTTTTAAAACCTTATGGCTCGATACCGTGGCAAGATAACTATACAGTTTAATAAATTTTTGTTTGGTACTTTAACTGTAATTGTAAAATTATAAATGCGTTTGAGAAAATTTAGTTTAAAAAAAAGTTGATTAAATCTAGTTTTTCCAGGAATATAATACCCAACTGTAGAACTATAAACTTTCCTATTAAATCAATAAATTGTTGTTTTTACTTACCAGTTTCATTAAATTTTTTCCCAATTTTTGTCCAGTTCAATTCTGCTGTCCTTCTGTTACTATACTCTGCTAAATTGTGGTCATATAATTGAGGATATTTCTCAATTTCTTGAATTAATGATATAGTTTCATCAATATCATCCTTCATTTTGAAATTTCTAAACGCCACACTAGGCAACAAATATCGAACAAGTTGGTTCTACGGCTTCGAAGCGCAAATGCTGAGAGGATTCAAATGCGTCCTGTCAACAAATGCATCTCAAGTGTGCGGATGTTAATTTAAATACACAGAAGCGTTAAATGCTGTCCGATACATTTGTGACAACGCATTTGTGGCGCCACATTTGAACCTTAGGTCTGCGGCCTGCTTAAAACAACAACTGCACCAAACACAAATAAACCGGGAAACACAACACCAACATCCAAAACGAACCATCTAACCTAAAAGAACCTCGCTCGACAACAACTAGGGTTTACAAATATAATTAATTAGGTAGGTAATTATTAGGTACTATTATATTAAAAACCGGGAAACACAAAGAGGCGAAGGGCAAAACCTCAGAAGAGGCAAAACGGATAAAAGATAAAACCAATGATAAAACGATGCGATTGTGAAATGGAAAATGGAAAGGATAATGGCGGCCAAGCCAATTCGTCAAGTCAACTTGCGGAATGCGGATGGCGTCCCTAACACAGTGTTGCCGGTTGCCAAAAAGCCGACTGAAGCCGCAAGCCTAGAAAGACTTTTAAAGTATTTATAAAGATTTGATTTTTGCTATGATTTTATAGTATAATAATAATTCACGCTAAACCGAAAATAGGAGGCTACTTTTTATATTTTATTTCAAATTTCAATGCCAAAAATGAAAAACCCAAAGAATAATAACAGAAAGATGTCTAGAATTGGAGATAAATACTTACAGCTGGCAACAGCGCATGTTAATCAGATTCGTATGGATGCCCGTGAACTGTAAAGTGTCCGCGCCCGCGCAGTGTCTTCGATCCCCAGCGATGCGATATGACTTTTTATATTTTTTTCAATTTTCATTGAAATTTGAAATAGAATTAGGTATGAATGGTATGATAAAATAAATGCTGGTAATAAATAAACCCTGCAGTGTTCTCCTGCTATACCATACCTCCTCCTATATGTATAGAACAGTTTTATGGAATAAAATATTTAGAAAAATATATTTCTTGTAGGTACATTTTTTAAATATTTTACATAGAATATTTTCCTAAAATTTTTAGATAAATATTCATTTTATGTTTTTACTTAAACCTATATTTAGGAATATTTAAAAAATATGTTAAAAATATTTGTAAAAAGACCTTTGTTTAAGAATATTTAAAAAAATATTTTGAAAATATTTGTAAAAAAAACCTTTATTTGAAAATATTAGAAAAATATGTTAAGAATATCTGTAAAAAAATATTTTATATCTAATATTTAATAAATATTTGTTTTTGATAATAAATATTTAAAAAAGATTTAAGATATAGCCAATATAAAATAAATATTTAGAAAATATTTTGTGCTATTGGGGTTCTAGCTTGAGCCTTTGGAAATGGTCGTATTTTATCGGGTGTGATAGTTATTCCTGATGGACCCGGAACTGGTTGGCTATCTATAACTAAAGAAAAGAGATAAAGGAAATGCTAAGACCTACGGAATATTCATAAAAATATTACCAGAATTTGCTGATGATTCGTCGTTTTCTGATAAATCTTTGGTAGCCAGTGGGGAATTTCTTGTCGACTGTTCCAGTGGCCTATCCGTTACGAAGGAACTTAAAAATTCATGTTCTTCAAAAATATTCCTATTAAGAGGAAAAACTCCTGCTACCAGATTGAATGTTTGCAGGAGAAAATACCTTGGGGAAGGCTTTTCCAACACATTCAGCCACATCATAAAGTGTCATGGGTTTACCACTATTTGATAACAGCCACTCATTACATGCGGTATTGTAATATTTTTTCAATGGTCCGAAGACTGACCTATCGAGAGGTTGAAGCTTATGGCTAGTGTGTGGTGGTAATGTTAACATGACGATGCCATGTTCTTTTGAAAAGTTCAATATCTCCACCGAGATGTGGCTCTCATGATTATCCAGTATTAGAAGAATTTTATTTTCTTGGCTAGAATGGGTGTATTTTACAAAATGGTGTAAATATTCTAAAAATATTGCAGAGTTTGACCAACCGCTTTGATTTGCCACACCCACACTACCTATCGGAGCTCCCTTCAGCATGTGGTCTTTAAAATAGACCCTTGGAAAAACAAATAGTGGCGGTATTGAGTTCCCTACAGCATTTATGGCTCCTATCATTGTTATGTTTAATCCCCTCTCACCTGACGTTATACTGCCAACCTGTTTCTTGCCTTTGGGAGCCAAAATGCGAACAGGGGCATGAACAGTAGACATGCCAGTCTCGTCCAAATTATAGATATTCTCTGGTCCAAAATTGAATCCTTTTATGACATTCTCTAAATTGTCGAAAAAGGTATTAACATTTTCTTTATTGAAAGCGGTTGATCTAGCCAAGCTGGTAGTCTGAGGTTTTCGTAAACTTAAATCATTGTTTCTCTTAAGAAAATACTTTAACCAATCCACTCCAGATTTTTGATTAAGGTCCCACGAATCAGGATATTTTATCTCATTCACTCTTGCATAATTATAGGCCAGCTTTCTCACTTCGACTGTAGATAAACCATAGTGCATGTTCGAACATTGCTTTAAATAAACATTCAATTCACCTTCTTGGGCTTTGGTGAAAACTTGCTTAACAGCATTGTTTGGAGCATACAGAAACTCTTCGTTATCTTCATTTCGATGTTTTATTAAGTCTCGACTTAGTGTTGATTTACTGACATTATATTCTAAAGCGGCTTCTCTTAGCCCGGATTTTCCGCTAAGAACTTTTTCAGCTGCAGCTTTAACAGCCTCAGAAAAAGGCTTGGGCCTTTTAATATTATTATGGCTTCTAGGCATTTCTGAAACGACAAAAAGTTGCTTTTGCTTCGAATTAAAATTTGCAGTTCAAAAACGTGAACAATAATCAGCATCCATGCATATACTACTTCAGATTTACCACAACCGATTTATGACTCACATGGAAAAAAATTTAAACAATATTTATTCAGAATATCTGCATATCTACAAAAAATAATATTACAGGTGTACCTTGGGACTGTACAGGTGTACCTTGGGACAGTCCCAAGGTACACCTCTGCCTGTGTCCCAAGGTACACATACTGTTAAACATACAACAAATTAGGTTATTCTTGTGCAAAAATAGAGAAACAGACCTCTCAAAACAAAAAATAATCATACAATTATCTCAACAACTCACTATACTACATATAAGTGCAATAAAATACTTTAATTTTTAAACGACACGATGTCACTGGATAAAAATTTACTTGTTACAGTTCAAAATGTAGTTATTGTTCCCATATGCAAATAAAAAAATGTTTCAGTATTTTTCCTACTGCCATCTATGAGAGAGTAAAACAACTTTTTGACTCGCAGGTTAGAATACTACATATTGTTTTCTTTCTACGGAGGTGTCCCAAAGTACACTGTGTCCCGAGGTACACACTTCTCCCCTATCATCCACAAAGAGAAAATCGTTCCCATTATTTTCTTTAAAAGGTAACACAACATCTTTCCAGCACATATTATCTATGACGGCTACTTTGTTTTAAAGATTTTCAAAAGTATTTCAAATATATAAAAAAATTATTAAGAGGATTCAACAGAGATTCAAAAACATATATTTAATCTTTGCGCCACCCTCGATTATTCTAGCACTTACCATTAAGGTGTGTATTGCGAATTCCTTTGCGCGACCAAAAAAATTTCCACATTTTTCACAGGTAAATCAGTTTTCTGCACAGTTTTTCAAAAAAATATTGAGTATCATTATTTTCCTTAAAATAATGGTATTAATTAATTTATTTGATAGCTAAAAAAACTTCAAACATCTAAAAAAACAAACAACTGAAAATTTGTACTGAACTTATGAGAGAGTACCTGCCTATCCAACTTTACTTGAGTGACTAACTCAAGGGGGATGGGAACTAGAAATGGCGCGGTTCGCGAATTTCGTTCAGTTCTGGCGTTAAGAATTTTCCAAAAAAAAAAAAAAAATATCGCTGCTTTGTCTCGAGTTTTGTTGAACACCTGCATGCTTTGTTAAGTTAGATTTTGTTTTTGATGCATGAGGCCTGAATCATGCATCAGACCTTTTGTTTAATAGAAATATGTTTTATATTTACTTGGATTTATAATTCTCATCATAACCCCTCACCAATGGCATCTTTCTGCATTCATACTTTCTCCAATCCACACTATTGAGGGCAAGCGGCACGACTTCTTGCACGCAAACCCTGTTCCTGAAGCCTTTGCCGCACTGTTTGTGTGGACAGTATGACCGCAGCTGCAGCTCTTAGTGCGGTGTCATACTATGCGTTTTCAACGCTGCGGCAAGAAGGGATGCATTTTGACCGGATGAACTCTACTTGTCACACTATCCTATCGAGATCAGTTTGAACGGGAACGAGACAAAAACTTTGCAAACCTTTTACTAGACTCACCTTCCAAATTGAAAGGGTGAATCCAATATTGACGATTCACCTCCTTTCCCAATAAACTCTCCGCATCTAGAGCACAGACAATCTTTAATGAATTTGCCTTGATACTGCCACTACCCAAATTTGACTGGCGAAACATTCCGTTGAAACGGATCCCGATGGGATAGTGTGACAAATAGAGTTCATCCGGTCAAAACGCGCATCCCTTCTTGCTGCAGCGTTAAAAACGCATAGTGTAACACCTCACTTAGTGTAGTGTCACACTATGCGTTTTCAACGCTGCGGCAAGAAGGGATGCATTTTGACCGGATGAACTCTACTTGTCACACATCCCATGGGGATGCGTTTTAACGGGATGTTTCACCAGTCGAATTTTGGTAGAGTCATGGCGAATTCATTGAAGATTGTGTGTGCTCTAGAAGCGGAGGATTTATTAGGAAAGCACGTGGATCGTCAATATTGGATTCACCCTTTCAATTTGGAACGAGAGTCCAGTGAAAGGTTTGCAAAGTTCTACAACAAAATTCGAATGCACGACAGGAAATTTTTTGGATATTACCGAATGTCTAAAAACTCATTCGATGAACTACTTGCGATATTGCGACCCCATATCAGCAGACAAAATACAACTTTTAGGAACGCTATAAGTGCAGAAGAAAGATTAACCATAACTCTCAGGTGAGTTCACACAAAATAAAGCAGGTAATATTGTTGACAAGTTGAAAAAATACCAAACCTATTATTTTGTTGAATGTCGACCTTTATTAGAACAAGAGATTACATTTACATAACATTAACTTATGAACTTTGGTCATACATCGATGAGTAGGACACGAATGACTCATTTGAGTGATGAGAATCTCGTGGAGACGTCAGTGGAGTGCTTACTGATGATATTTGTTGACCATACCCAAGTAGCATTATAGTGAGAGAAACTGATACCGCAACTTCTGCTGAGTGGCTATCACGTAATAATCACTTAATATGCCCCTAAGCAGTAAGAATAACTTCATTTTATATTTGCATAGTTGTAATCACGTTATTCTCACCATTGAGAGCAACTCCAAGGTTTTATAACTTTTTGGTGCTACTGAAGGTGATTGAAACATAATAACTACGAAGCGGGACCACTCCAAAGTTTTCCCATCTTTAAAGTGGAAAATAATAGTTACGGCAACCAAACCTTGTCACTTAAATATTACTTAAACGTGGCATTGATTTTAAAGTGGGTGTAATAGCTTAAGCGACGTATTGGTCACCTTAACTATAACTTCAAAGTGGCGCCGCTTGATTTTATAACCAATGTGGTGGTAGCCACGTTTTTGGTACGCGTGTAAGTGATTTCCACATGTCACATGTAATCAGAGTCATAAAGAAGTTGCTCTTACCTTCAAAATCCACTTTGAAGTAACTAACACCTAATTGTGATCTGCTTCCTTCATAACTATAAGAGGCTAAAGAGAAAAGGTGTTGTCAGTGTGCGCTCAAACTACTTATCCAGTGAATTTGTGTGTGTGCGTATGTAAGATGGACAACAACAACAATAACAAGCAAAAAAAAGACTTTTCGACATTCTACAACGTTTTATAGAAAACTTAGACAGCAAACAAACGGTACCAGAAGTATTAAACATTATTACTCTGTAGTAAATCATAATAAGCTTTCGTCGCCAGTACAAGTCAATAGTGAACCCCCTATCTTCGTCAACTGCTCAGAAGATAATGCTGAAAATGGAAGAATTTTTCGTCATGGTGAAGATAACATTGAAAACGATGACGGATTGTTCGTGCCTGCAGAAGATTTTATGGACGTCGACGATGAGGAACGACGTATGTCATGTACATAAAATCACTCATAGCTCACTCACTGATCTACTCCATATTTTAAAATCGAACAGTATTATGAACTTACCAATCGATAGCAGAACTCTTTTAAAAACGCCAACATCGGTTAATATTATAACAATGGGAAATGGACAATTCTGGTATAATGGAATAGAGAACTGCTTGCTCACAAAATTTGCTGATATAGCGCCACCACAATCAGTTTGTCTGGTGTTCAATGTGGATGGACTACCACCTTTTAGAGGTTCATCAATAGAATTTTGGCCTATTTTATTTAAAATTGAGAATATGCCCCGGTTACAACCAATGGTAGTAGCAATTTACTGTGGAGAGACCAAGCCACCTCTTCAAAAATTTCTAACCCAATTCGTTGATGAATTAAATCACATATTGAAAAATGGAGTTATAGTTGAGAAGTGTAAGCTTGAAGTCAAAATTAAATATTTTGTTTGTGACACTCCAGCAAGAAATTTTATTAAGGGTGAGTGTGAAATTATTATTGTCATAAACAACCATTGAGTAAATGTTATTTTACAGGAACCGTTGGATTTAATTCAGCTCATGGTTGCATTAAATGTACAGTTATTGGCGATTACGATAGAGGCGGAAGACATATGAGCTTTCCAAGAATTGATTGTCCACTAAGAACCGATGAAAGTTTTCGCATGAAAACTGACGATGGTCATCATAAAGAGGATTCCCCCCTACTGAGACTACCCATTAACATGGTAGAGGATATCATAGTTGCAGATTCCTTACATTTGTTTGATTTAGGTAAAAAGATCGTTTTATTTCTATAGTACTTTTCATTGTATATTTAAAATTACAGGCTTAATGCGAAAATGCCTTTATGGATGGGTTAATGGAAGCTACAATTTCCGTACGAAATTGTCAGCGGCACAAATTGATCAGCTATCATATCTGTTAGAAGAGTGCAATAAAAGAAGACCCATTGAAATTCATCGCGCTATTAGGAAGCTGAAATGCTTAAAGTATTGGAAAGGCACTGAGTATCGAACTTTCTTGCTTTACATCGGCCCTGTCATTTTGAAAGTTTTCTTGACCAGAGAAGCTTATCATAATTTTCTCACACTGTGCTGTGCAGTTACAATCCTTTCATGTAATACATATTCAAAGTACATCCACATAGCTGAATGCTTATTAGAGGACTTCATTGAGCAATTCATTGACATTTATGGAATAGACGCTATAAGCAGTAATGTTCATAATGCTTGTCATGTAGTTAATGACGTGAAAAAGTTTGGCTCACTTCCGGAAATAAGTTCATATCCATTTGAAAATTTTTTGGGCCATCTAAAAACTTTACTGCACACAGGAAATCGACAACTTCCGCAACTAGCTAAACGTGTCATTGAATTGTCTAAGTTTAATTCTCTATCCATATAGAAGTCCATTTGTTAAAAATGAAAACCGCTCAGAAACACACCAGTTACAATATTGCGATAAAACATTTAATAAAGTTTGCATTCGTGAAGACTTTACATTATCCGCCGACATCAAAAACAAATGGTTCCTGACAAAAAGCAACGAGATAATATCTATGATAAATGCTACTTACTATGAGGAAAAAATCTGCATATACGGTTCTCCTATTAAAACAAAATCAGACTTTTTCGAAAAACCTATCTACCTAAAAGTCGTCCTATTTAAACATTTATAAGTCAGATGGGAGACAATTATCAGCAAAATTGTATTCATTGAATGAAATTAAATGTAAACTTATATCTGTTCAATATCATAACGAATTTGTATTTATGCCCTTGATTCATACTTTGGACGGAATGATGTGAATAAATAATATTAATCTACTATTTTATATATTGAATTTATTAGGTATCAACAAGACGCTGTATTAAAAAATAAATATTAAAACTTTGTATTTCGTAAAATAAATTCTGTTTACAATTAAGGTACATATTTTATTCAGATTCTTCCCCATCAGCTACATCAGACTCCTGTAGAGAATTGCCTGCATTTGGGTTCAGCTGATTATCTTCATTTTCAGTTGCGTGATCAATTTCCTCATCTGGCGCAGAGCTTTTACCATTGCATCCAGGCCTCGAACTTAGATAAATATAGAAAAAATCAGGATCGCATTTTTTTTTGTTGATTGCATGCACCTTACCGTTTACGTAGACTTCTTTTTGTCGCATATTTCAGAACACCTTCCTTGAAAATATTACAGTTCTTCTGTTTAGTATGCCGACTGTCAGCCAGTGATATGACTTGGAAAAATACGTCTAGGATTCCTTCCATAATTTGAAACGGCTTTTTTGGAGTTGGGTTCTTTCCCCTCGCAACTCCAGTCCATGTATAATTTATTAAAACTGAAGGGTTAAACAATTGATCAATGACCTTATATGCCACTTTTCCCCCATCTTATTCCCTACTGGTGCCACCAATTTTGGATAAAAATGTAATCTGAAACAAAATTGTAAAAAATAACCGGTCTCTTTAGAAAGGTAGGGAATATTACCAGCTGTGATTTAAATTCCGGTTGGTTACGAATTTCGTTTTCCAAAGCTTGGATTTCTTCACAGGATTTAAGTGGAAAATTGAATACCTGTAACAGGTCTTTTTCCTTTGGTGGCAGATGAACTGCTTTGGGTAAAATATTTATATTAGATAAAATTTTATGAATTTTATCCAAATTCAAATTGATTTTAGTATATTCCTTTTTGAGTTCATCTTTCATAGTAGCAATTTCGCTTTTTATTCTTGTTAATTCGTCTCTAATTTGCTGCATTTCATTTTCATTTACTATTTCTGGCTCTGGCTGTTGCGTTACTGACGGACCTAGGAGATTTTTTCAATGTGTACACAGTTGCGCAAAAAAAAATTCTGTAGAAAAATCTCTTCGACAGACATCTTATGCCAGTTTCAAATTCAAAAATTTCAACTAATAGTGTTTATGCCAAAAGAATTTTTGTCTGGATTTTTGTTTGCATAACTGTACTTTTATTCTTACCACATTCTTCAACCAGAGTATCAAATATCAAAGAGCCATCATTCTGCACGATTAATGTTTTGTAATCAGGAGCATTGGGTACATTCGCCAGAAACATTTCATTATTGGCTGCTTCAATGTTTTTGTTGAAAGAATTTGAATTTTATTATTGTTCGATGAATAAGTTGGACTAGCAGGCGGCTGCTTATCAAAGAGATAGTTTCTGTCAGTCAGTTGGCAGCTATCAAATGTTTTCCCTGTTGCTGCTCGTTTTTTATTCGCCATGTTCACAAACAGACTATAAAATGAAAAATTAGAATAAAAAAAAAAATAACCAACAGATTACTTACGTTTCCTCTGCATCAGTGTCGACGCATTCTGAAAATTGTTTTTCAAATTTCAGTGCATCTTTAAAATCTCCCAATCCTGATAATTTTACAATGCATTCAAGCGAAGACCAATTGTCTTCAGGGGCACTTGTTGGGTTGCGCCTTAAAGTTTCCCTTTGGGAAAAATTTAAATGTTCTGGCCAAAACAACATACCCTCACTTTCCCACTGGTGCGGAACAACACAAAAACATATTCCTTTTTTTTCCTTTGTGGATACTATTTTGAAACTCATTTTCATTAATTATTATCACAAATAAAATAAATGTTAACCAACTCGGAAGGCAGAATAAAAAATAAACATAAAAAACCGGTTGCTGTTGCTAGTGGCACTTTTGAGGTTATGTAGGTACTATAGTGACAAACTATGGTGGCTGCAGCGTAGCCGCCACTTTGAAGTGACAGAAAATTTGTTAGGATGGTTCCACGCACCACTTGATTGATGAACGTAACTATGAAGTGAGATATTTTCAGTTTCTGCCACTTCAAAGTTGGATCATTGAAAAGCAGCCATCTTTACAGACATTTTTAAGGCCGCCATTGTTAGAAAAATTGTCGTACTTTTCAAAAAAAAAAAAATATTTTTCATCTGTAGGGCTTCAAATGTTATTATACAATACATAATTACTGGTTATGACTAATCCGGACTAAAAAGAAAACTTTTTGAGGCATCTAGGTATATAATTTCGAAGTCACAAAATTCACAGATTTTGAATTTTTTTCTTAAATATGGAATATTTCCATGGCGCGTGACCATATTTCGAGCTACAACATCTATATTTCAGAGTAAATTCTCAATCGTTCGAAGTTTTAGCCTCCCAGCTCTCAGAATTGTCCTAATTTAATATCCTTGTAATTCCATGACATAATATTATAATAATTTTTATTATCCATAAGTATCTACTTAGGCTTTCGCAGTTAGGTAGGTAGGTATGTCGAGTTAGTGGAAGAGCAGGGAAAATGGAGAAATAATGGTCAAGAAAGGGACCGAGATACATACATTATAACCAAAAGAAGACAAGCGCAGTAAGCAAAGTTTCCGGTTCAGTGTTGGCCACCACTTGGCCACGTTTTTGTCACGTAATAACCACGTGGCTATAACGGGATGGTATAAAGATACAAAAACGTTGTTGAAACGTGGCTGCCACCAAAAATGTGTTCCCCATTTAGGTCACCACCACGTAAATAGAACCGTGTCTATTACGGGGCAGAAACTTTGGCAATCACCTTTAAGTTTCAAAATATCGTGATCGCCACGTCCCAACCACTAAAATTGCTACTTGGGGCAGTTGTGGTGATCTTGTTACAACTAGGTTACGGTCTTGAATAGTTTTTTGGCTCTGTAAGAGGCCTGTTGATGAATCAAACAAATTAGAACTGGTAGATGTACCAGGCCTTGATCTGATATTTTCTGCCAATACATTATTAGATGTTGTCCTAAAAAAATAATCTAAATCAAAATAATGTTTAGGTAAATTGCTCTTAAATTCAACAATAGATTTCTCTGAAAAAAAATTTCTTAAACTTGAGAATACTCCAAAATATAATTTATTGATTGGGTATTTAAAGTTTATTATATACTATTAACAAACAGTAAAAAATGTTGAAAAATGTCAATAAATTTATAATTAATTATTGTCCAGGTTTACTCACTGCCTTGGCTCCACTTTGTCATACATGAATTCAAAAACAACATGTATTGCCATTTAGGGATTGATGCAGCAGTAGCACCACTTCTATACATATTATCATTTTTTTGTTTTTCCCGGTGATATTTTTTCCCTCAGTGACTTCCATCTTTTAGTACAAAATTCAACTATAAAAAAATTAAACCATAAACGTGTTTTACACAAGATAGGGACTTGATTATGGTTACCTGTTGCTCCCATTGACTTCGCAATGTTCTCCCAAGCCCTAAGCTTTTGATTTCGGTTACTATAACCTTTCAACTGGGAATTATATAATGCTGGATAAGTACAGACGTGCTTCAAAAATAATTCGTTATTAAATCCTTCTTCATTTTCAATAATTTCATATGTTTCAGATTCAACAAGTGTAGGTGAGAAGTCGCGTGAAAATGTATTTTCCTCGGTATTTTCATTTTCATTATCGCTGGTGCAAAACTCTATTTCGAATTTATTCATATTAATTTTGGATGTTCCTGAAATAAATATCAAAGTTTTTAGCTCTCAAAAAATCAAAAAATATCAACTTCCAAACCTTTTCAAAACCGACGTTTGTTTTGTTTACATCTTTTTAATAAATCTAACCTCCAAATCCGCAATTTTTCAATTTGACGCTTGGCTTTGCCAAGCAGTTTGCACCAATTTGAATTGACAGTAAATTCCATTTTGCATGGTTATGTATTCTCCCGTTTGTCAAGCGGGCAATTTCCAATTCCAATTCAAATTGGAATTGGTTGTAAATTTAGCATGCCAGGTGGTAGACGCTTTTTACTCATTGGGCGTCGACCGGTGAGATACCACCATGCCAGAATTGAGTAGCGCTAAGTGGTATCACCACGTTCCGCTACTGCGCTGGTAGTCCGGTTCCAACAATGAGTAACAGATAGCATGATGGCGCCTCCAGGATCAAAATAATCCGGAGGTAAAATACCCGACCACTCGGATCTCCGGGCGTCGGGTGATCCTGGGGGTCCTTCATGCAAAGATATAAAGAGAAGATCAAAAACTCAACTCAGAATTGATTTTAGCAATACAGTACAAAAGTACAGTACAAAAGTACAAATATGAATTCAATTCACCAACATCTTGAAGAACAAAGACCTGACATCCTTGTTCTCACTGAAACTAAAATCAGTTCTGCAACACCTATTGTGAACTATCTTTATCCCGGCTATGACCTACACCACCGATTTCGACATAATTTTGGGATCTCTGTGTACATTAAAAATGACCTTTCATGTCATCGAGAGGAGAAGCTAGAACCAGCGAACCTTGATATCATATGGCTAAAATTCACCTAAAAGTCATCGACCAAGTTTATCTGCTGCCTCTACCGACCGCCAAGTAACACCGATTACCAAAACTTTTTCGCGACATTATCCGAAAGCTGTGATAGTATACAGTCAAACTATCCACAGGCAGAAATTGTCTTTTTAGGCGATTTCAACGTCCACAATATACCCTGGCTGAAACACCACAACAAAACAGATAACGAAGGCAGAGAAGCAGAAGCTTTTGCCATAAGTTGTGGTCTAACGCAGCTTGTCGATGAACCTACCCGTATCTCAGAAAGGGGCGAATTTGCAGCGCTTTTAGACTTGTTCCTAACCACAAATCCTGACTCGTACACAATTCAAGTAGATGCTCCACTTGGTTCGTCCGATTATAAACTTATAATAACAAAGTGCGAAATGCTCATCCCACCAAGCCAACAACCACTTCCTCGTAAAATGTGGCACTATAAATCGGCAAAATGGAATGACCTAAAACAGTTTTACCTGGATTTTCCATGGCAAGAGGTTTGCTTTAAAACAGCTGATCCCACTATTTGCTGTAATGAAATAACACAAGTAATCTTATCTGGAATGGATGCAT